ATTCTACAATTATGCAAACAGCTGATCTGTGACTCATGCCCTTTCCCGGAAAATGCACCCTGTTGTGACCAAAATGACGCACCAGCCACTCATTATAGTGCCCACACATAATAAAGCCTACAAAACTAAACTGAATTTGTATATATATATGTCTAAACTGTATATTGTCCAATAATTTCCTGAATGTCACGCTCCGATCCAATTCTGCGGGCCTGTTCTCCAGGCTTATTTCGGACCAGGATTCGTCCCCGCTTCGTCCAGACGAAGCGCCAGCCATGGATACCAGCAGCTGCACGCGTCTTCCGAAACAAGTCTTGGTTTGTCCTGGTCAGCCTTTCGTTGACGTAGAAACGACCCGCAGGACCCGGAAGACCCAAATCTTCCGTCGTTGCTCCTCGCCGCTGTCTAGCGCCGTCAAGAACAGCATCCCTGATGTCCCGACGCGCCAGACGCACCATGACAGCACGAGGGCGGACCTCAACTGGTCCCGTCGGACTCGTCGCCTTGAGGTGTCTCCCTCCCACCCTCTCAGCACAAACTATGTCCCGGTCATCTAGTTGGACACCTAGCTTGGTGGCGATGACCTTGACTACATGTACTGGGTTTTCTGCTTGGGATTCGGGCAAATTTGCTATCATCAAGTCATTTGCCATGAGCTCCTGATCCCTCTCATTAAGCTCCCGCCTCAGCTGCTCCACCACCCCATCAACGACGGTCGCATCAGCCGGCACACCAGCATGTCGCTCCTCCAGGACCTGCAGCCTGGCCTCGATCGTGTCCATTCGCACATTGCAAGCGTCGCCTGAAGATCTCACCTCTTTCCTAAGTTCTAGAACCTCTGTTCGCAGGCTACGTAGTTCTTCCATGATCGCTTGCAGCTGGGAAGCAACATCCATCTGCTGGTCGTGAGGTTTGTTCTCCATGGCGACGCCACTTTCCTGGACACAACCCGCTGGTTCAGACATACCGATGTCCGGTCCTTCCTCTGCAGACTCATCAGAGATCGCAGACCGCAGCACCGGCGTCTCAGCTGAGATCAATGGAGCCGTCACCGACTGCACATCACCCTGACTATTCCGGACAGGCGTCTCAGATTTGTTGTCCCTACGGACATTTTTCTTGCATTCTGGGCACTGCCAGAACGACGGTAAGGCGCCTCTTCCAGTCAGGGCTACACATACGCGGTGGTAGTGCTCGTTGCATTTCGTGCACCTAGCGGCATCTGCCGGCGAAATGAACTTACCGCATCCCCCACACTTGATCATCGGCATTATTGCTGGGATCAAAGTAAGACGTTACAAGCGAAGAAGTCACAATCTGGTCAGCTGTTTCCATAAAATGATGTAAAAAAAGGGTGTTTTTTTTTTTTTTCGGAGGGTACTCAAGAAATAAGTCTCACTCAAGACAATTTCATTATTGGGTTTATTTAATAAACAACAATAATAATATGGGCCCTGTTTTAGCACTCACTAACTGTATCTTTGTATGTTTGAATCACTTCATTAAACTGTACTCAACACTGTTGTTTTATTTCTATGCGCAAGAATCCGACAGCAGGTCCGACCGGTACGAACGCCGAAACGTCACAAACGTCACTCACACATATAAACACATCCAAACCCGAAACAACGGCTTCCCAGTTCCTCTAGCTACGAACCATAGCGTCGACCAAAGCGAGAGAGACTGAGAAGCCGTCTCCTCTTTCTGCGAAGCAGTGATGCTTGCAAAGGAGGAGGCGGAGCGCGTTAGAAAACTGTCCTTCTCAAACCCCAGCCGCCGCAGTAGGCGATTGGCGAGTCATTGTGGCCTCGGCTCAGAGCAGGAGAAGGAACGGGGGAGTTTTTAGTCAGTAAGTCTGAAACTCTTTCTCGCCTTACCCTGGGCGGGAGAGGTCATTTGATTTTCATCTGACAAAAAAAAACAAGAAAAGACCCGGTACAACAATCTGTTCAACAATTTGTTCATTACGGGAATCGCACCCGCGACACTTTGGCGGCAGACAGTTGCCCAGTCACCGCAGCAACCAAGCAGTCAAATATATATACATAGGGTATTTTTACACAGATACTATCGGCAGCAACTAGCGTAAAATGCAGCTGAACCTTCATACCACTCAATACCGAAGCCAAAAAATTTATTGGAAATTTTGGAAAGCAAAGTATGTTCATAGTGCTTAAGAGCCTTATTAGTCACGTAGCCTTTCATATCAAAGATTTTTAATAATCCTAATACTTTGCCTAACCGGAGATCGAAACGGAAACGAACTACTAACACTAATTAACTTATTTTTATAATAAACCTTACTATTTTTCATCAAGAATCTATCAATTAACTGTCTTAATTAATTAAGAATTCCAAGTGCTATTGATAAACAAGAGATTTGGATTTGGATTAGGACTGATTTTCTTTTTTTGAAAACACATTTCGCAACAGACGAGGTCAGAGTAATCGGATTAAATAGCGGTGTTCTTAGCAATTAATTATTATTAGACGATAAAGCTTTCTTTGTTTATGCATCTTGTAGGGTTTATAGGAGAGATTTTTATGGTATAAATCGATAAACGAGCAGACGGATTACCTGATGGTAAGCAATCAGCGCCACCCATGGACACCCCCATGGGTGGCGAAGACAACAAGTTACACACCAAAAGTTGCTGGCCTTTTAGGGATAAGGGTTTTGGATATTTAAGGATTGGGAAGGAATGGGGGAGGGGTGGGTATCGGGCCTCTGGTAACCTCACTCTCACGGCTAAACTCAACGCTCTGGTTGTTTCACGCAGGTTTTCTGAGAGGCTGGGTCTAATGCCGGTTGAGCCGATACATTCGTGCCGAAACATGGCTCTCCCACACTTACCGGTGGATACGTATTTGTACGTCAATCAAAAGTTTTTGTTATTAACACCAAGCCGTTAACGGTGATTGTTGTTTAATAGTTACATCATTTTATAATTTTATTCGCTTTTTAAAGTTAAGTCATGCCAACGCAATCCTAGTACAGTTATAACAATTTAGGTAATTGTTCTTCTAATGCATTACGAACGATAGTTATTTCGAAGACAGTCAACAGCCCGTTGCCCCACGATCCATTGCTTCACTGTTTCACATATTCAGATGTTCGGCAACAATCATCTCTTTACACTTTAGCCTTGCTCCCTTCATACACGCCTATCTATCCCCAAAAAATCAGCGTAACTGGTCTATCATATTTCATGCTTTTTCACCAGTTATCAAATTGTGATGTGGGAGCAAGTGCAATGATGTGCCACAGCCCGGAGTTTGACAAGGAACGGGTTGTTTTTTAATAAATAAATAAGTAGACTGACATTCCTGGTTGCCCCACTTAGAGCAAGAAAAATCATTTGATGATTTCGTATCGAAATACATAAATGAAAATAGAGAAAAAGTCAGTTCATAAAAACTTTTAGAACCTGGCTTCAAAACAGGACAGCTTCCTAATTGTTATTTTTTTATTTTCTGAATTCGTAGCAAAATATACTCAATAACTTTATAAGCGCCATTGTAAAGAGGCTAACCACCTATCGAAAAAATCGCTAATTTACCAAAAAAAAACACTCATTAAATAATAATATTCGCAAAAAAGAACGAACAATACAATACAAAAAGATTTCTTTCTTATAATACAAGCGTTCGCAGAGAGATACCAAAAAGCATAGTATGCCAAAATAAAATGATCAAATCACCACCATTTTAACAGCTAAAAGACTTTATTGAGATCTTAGAAACTTCAACGATAATGGTGTTTCCACGTGTCATTGTTTACAAACACTTTCGAAAATAATTTAATTTTGAGAAAATAGATTTTAAAAACTCCGCTATGGAATCACCATGACATTGATTTGAATCCCTTTTTCTTGCAAGAAAACCAGCACAATATGTGCATACGTAGAGAAATAAAAGGTTGTTTATCTCATAATTTTAATATTGGAAATAATTACTCGCGTAATATCCCATATTTATAACACGCTCATTAATTCGCAAAAGCTGAATAAGTCGAATATAAATAAATTATTTTAGTGTCAACCATCTTTCCTAAAAATATTCATTAATCCTATGTGGCACCGATTATGTTATATATTTTAATTAGTACATAGTGGTCCCAACGTAGGAAAACGGGCCCATGTAACTTTTATCAAGCAAAAGAAATAACTCCTATCATTTAAAAATAAGCTTTAACAAAAACACTATAGGTTCTTATTCAATTAACTAACATCACGACGAATGAGAATCAAATAATACGGTAATACGTTAAAATTAAATATAAGAATAGCCGCAGGATATGTTAGTAAACAAATATGAAAATTCGATTAAGTGGGCTGTAGCGGTATTACAGTCAGAGAGCTTCAACAAGAAATTATTTTGCTTTCAAACAAAACATAATCTGATCATAAGAGAAATATTATCTTTAAAGAAACATTGACAAATACTAAGGGTACATTACCACCGTGAAGTTGCCCGCCATAATTTCGGAGACGGCATTGTAAATAACTGAGGTCGAAGTTGCGTTGTCAGATGAAGAAGAAAACATAGATCCATTAAGGTCCCCCTCGAGGTAAGGTCTTATCAAGTCCATGTAAAGTATGAAATAAATAATCATTCGACCGACCCTCATTTTGAAAATAAAATTTGAAAAAGCGCGCCAAAACTCAATTTACAATTAAAACAAATTATTCAAACACTCTTAAAGATTCTAAAACTGATTGTAAACACAGAGAAAAGACCCGCTTAGTTTCAAATGACGAAACGATTGTTTGTTGCGATATCGGAGGGCGCGAGCAGTGGTTGTAAAACTGTGCTCTCCACTCCAAGTCCGTGCACAAACTGCAGTTGATATTAAGGGTGAAATACAACTACATATCACGTTCTTCAACTGAGCGGCCGGCACCACCAACATGGGATTAACAGGTGTATTACGGACGAGTTAACAAGATTTCTATAACTGCAATAAATAATATATACTCAAAATTTATCATAGTACTTACATGCACTTGAGGCTTCTTGCGTTTCTTATTGTAATCACTCATTGTTCACAATTAAAAAATAGTTTGAAACTGGGAAAAACTTTCCCCTTGTTTATTTGTTTACACAACACACTAATAAAATAACACTCGAGTTTATTGTTTGTTAGCTACTTAAACTTCGATCTGCACATGTTTTTACACTTCTAAAACGACGAGAAAAACTTTAATATGCGTATAAGTTCTCACAAAAAAGTGTGGACATGGAATTATTACGTTAGAATAATTGTTTACTATTTAATAACTTGTCAAGAGCTGTCGACGACGCGTATTCCACCGTGTAGTGTGAACGATAATGCCGTTAATTATTATCAAACTGATTATTATCAGATATCGATATAATATTATACGTATCACAAGTATTGATAACGATATATTTTCTAGCACTGTACTGTTGCCAGATTTAACCAATATTAATGATTGGTATTTGACAGTTATACCTATATACTGATTACTTTGTACCACAGAATCTTCTGATAAAATATCCATTTATAAAATTTCTTTTTGAAATATAAGATAGTTGATATTACGATTAAACATTTCTAATAAATGTTTACTACTTTTGAGTACTTTGTTTGTATGATTGTTATCAATTTCTTCTGGTTTATTCTAGTTAAAAGTTACTCAAGTAGTAATATTGTCTTATTTTTTATGCTACGAACAGATTGATAGTGAGGTCACAGCACAAACAAATCTGTATTAACTCATAAATGAACTAACTCAACATTTTTTATAATACTTTTCCACGATTTTTTTATATTAATTTTTCTCCTCAATATAATGAAAATATGAATTCAAATGTTTTTAAATATTTTTATTTACATTGTTAGTTCATGAAAATTGTTCCAATGAAATATCGTTGATTTAGAGCATTTACTATAGTTAACTTTTTACGTGAATTTTCCCGTAGTTTGTTGGACTTTAATACACTGAAGTACAGTTTAGTTTAGTGTATTTTTGACTCAAAGTAAACAAAAATGATATTTCATTGAAGTGCTTTGTTATATTTAGAAAGTTTGTTATGTTTTTAATAATTCTGAAACAAACGTTATGTTGTGTTTATGTTTAGTATGAATTGTTTTACAAAAAATAAGTTAGTCTAGAATGTTCTGATACTTTTAATGATTTAAACTAGGCGTTTAAGATTTTTTGCTTACCTATATTCGATATTACTGAAGCGTTATAAGTATAGCTTGTGGAATGTATCGTATAACATTTTATTCAAAGGATAAATTTATGTTATTTTTCTATGTTTGATACATTTGATTAAGGCCTGTATCAATTATATGTATGTCAATGTAATCAAAGATAAAACAGAACAATAAAAACAAATGCATGAGAAATATTTCTCGGGGATGATTTCAGTTAACATATAATGTGAGAAGGTTTTTTACTTATAGGGTATTGCTCCGAAAAACCTTACCATTTATTTAACAAATCAATATCCTTCCTGTTTGTCAAAGAAATATTAATTTTATTTCTTGGAAGCAGTGGGTCGGTTTAGTTTTATAAATTAATTATTTGTATTTCAATCAGCAGAATTGTTAACTTATTTATCTATATAGGTACATAATAATTTGTCAATTTCAAAAGGTCCTGTAATATCACGTATATACAATAAGCCTTAGGAAACAAAGACTACGAACAGTGGACCACATTACGTACGGTTCATAGTAACAGCTCAAGCCGCTAATTAATATTAGCAATCAGCTTAATTATGATATGCCATCTAGTAGCCTGTTGGAAATACAGTACGAGATGGTTGGAGGTTTCTCATTTTATTTTTGTGAGGGGAATATCACCGAAATGACGATGACTTCTCCTCTAGGGAATGTCAGACTCTTACTGACTAAACACGCACCGTTTCTTCTCCTGCTCTAGGCCGAGGCCGCGGTGCCTTATTGCGCTTGCCCCGCAACCCCGGCTGAACATCACATAAAAATGCTCTAGGGTTTTGGTTATCTTGCAGCGATTTACAAGCCTTCAGACAAGCTTTGATTCTTGTGTAACCAAAAAAGGTTTAATATCTTATACATTTTATACTAGCGATCTGCCTTGGCTTCGCACGGGTTGTGCAATGTGCAATGCTGTTATTATACAACATCTAAACCTTCCTCTTCAATCACTCAATCTATTAAAAAACTGCACCAAAATACGTCGCGTACTTTATAGACTTAAGATTCATAGGGATGTAGGGGCAGACAAAGCGACTTTGTTTTATACTATGTAGTGATTAGTCGAACAACTGAAGATATATCTACAGGCCGTATTATCGCTAAAGTAAACTTCGCAAGTGAACGTGGCGGGAAGCAAAGAGCAAGCGCATTGTATTTCAAAACAAAAATTAAACCGTACCTATGCTGCTTGCCTAGGGCGCTCATCTGGTTGTACCCGCCTTCTATATCAGCTGTAGTTATGTATGGTACAAACAGAAATCTAATACATGATCGGTAAACATCGGATTTGCCGTAAAATATGTGACTGTCATACCATTTTGTGGAACTAAATGTTTTATTGGTGATCGCAGTAAACAGATTCAAATAGTTTGCGGTAACGGTAGATGCCTAATTAAAATATTTCATTGCATGTCATATTACATGGCACATTTAGTGGTTTTATGTTTGGAATAAACTTACAAACATATAGTTAGAAGCCCAATTCTCTCTCACCTCCAATTCATAACCTTGAAATCCCTAAAAGGATAAACAATAATTGACATATTGAGTCTAATGCTTTTTGTGACATATTTATTCTAACACAGAACTAAGTCATATCACGACTAATGAAAAGTGTATGTTACCTAAAATACATACATATATACAGGGTGTGTACTATATGTCTACTTTTTCGATAACGTTTTTATTGGTTCTCGATAACTTTGGTAGAGTGCGATCTAGCCGAATGTCCGTCAGTCAGATTGCGGGCGAAAAAGATAAAATAAGTAATATGAAACTAGAACCGGTGAGCATTCATGAAGATTAAAAAACTGAATAACATAAAAATAACACACTAAATTGCTTTCAGAAACCAAAATAAAATTACTTCTATTGAATTGAAAAAACTATAATAGTCAAGAGGTGAGTGAGTATTAAAATATTATTACACACTTAATCCATTTTTACCAGTAATGTTAGAAATCTTGTGTACTTAAGAACTAAATGACACTCTCCAATAATTATTAAGTAAGGTCAAAACCAGGCATAGCGACCAACGCTCGCGGACTAACGGTTAACTTCTTCCGATACCTTCAAGGAGTAACAATTGTATAGTTACAATGGTAAATAAACCCTTTTAATAATCTGCATTTAAAAACTGAAATATTGAAAATGAATCGTACATCAATTACTAACTACTTAATAAAAACATTCCACAACAGTGTTGGTACAGCTTCACATGTTGCCAGGAACATTGAATGCTGATATTAATAACAGAAAACATTTTATCATTCGATTTTTAAATTCAAAAAATGCAAGCAATTCGAATGTCTTTTTGTGAGAACTCAGAGCGATGGATGCGGACTGTACCTGATAGACCAAACGGTACATTAGCCGCCCTTTTCATGGATTAAACGATATTTTTCACGTTTCACTAAAGCAAATCTTATGGGAACATCATATTGGGGGGTTTTTGACCATTTCTTTACTTTATTGTGTGCACTGTACTAGTGTATCGACTCTGTGGTTGTTTGGTCTACTGGCATTCGCGTGTGATTTTCTTTTGTTTCTTGATCTAGTTCAAATGCATCGGAGAACAAATATGTGTATTATCCGTTATTTTATAATCACTTTATTCTGTCTTTTTGAACTTTAATCCGTCGAAATAAAGATTTCTTGTTTACATTTGTTTCAAGATGGAAATCTTTTGTGTAGCAGGTTTCAAAGCTGTAAAGTTGTTTGTATGGTTGTTTCACCTATAACACACATAAAAGGGTATTTCTTATTTTAAGGTAATTAGAAAAGTATGCATGTTTTATATAGATATTCGTAATAAGTATTTATAAAAAAAAAAAACTGGTAACTTTATATTGGATTTAAAAATACTCATTATTACATGCGGATTTGAAGTTTTTTTTTTACTTAATTTACTTTTGACCGTAATTGTCAATAGGTTTAGCATTATTATTTATTATTTTATGCAAACATTTCTAGATCAATGTTTTAAAAAAAAAATAGACGTCCATCTCTTTATAAACCAACTAGCATTTTCCCGCAGATCCACCCACGTGACCAAAGGGAAAATAGTATTATTACCTGTCCCTGAACTGTATGCAGACAGAAAAATAAAATTTATTCTAAAAATGGGTTCCGACACGCGTAAACCAGATAAAATACAAATATGAAAAAGAATTACCAAAAAAATATCTCAATAATAACAACATGACAATGCTAACCAGTGATAAATAATAATAAATAAAAATTCAAACTTCAACCCTTTTTCTTTTTTGATCTAGTTATCACTTTTTTTTGTTAATAATTGTTGTTGTAAAATAAACAATATTTCATTACCATAGAGTCAAAAACAAGTTAGTGATTGGAACCTCCTTGTAAGCAAAAAGTGCATGTAAGGAGATTCCGCTCTTTTACAACAAGGTTAAAATTAGAAAAATTATTAACAAAAAAAAAGTCATACCTAGATCAAAAAAGAAAAAGGAAATTGGTAGAAGTTAACATACGAATTGAAATCAATATCCAATAAATCTGGGCAAAGAAATCGACAGTAAAATAGTAATCTGATACAAAACTGACAAGACGACTAGCCGGGACTGTGTAAACTAATTTTGCGTTGAACCACGGCCGTCGCGTCGACCAGACCATTTGCTCGCTATAAGAAAAAAAATAGACCTGACCTTGCCTAGGGAAACTGGCACAGACAGACAAGCAAAGCATCCTTCTTAAATATATTTATCAAAAAATATATAATGATTTCGTATTAAAATAATCAAACTAGCAGCTTAATTACTATACTATGTATAATTAATTTCTTAGATATTTTCCGTGTTGAAGTACTTTTGAAGTGCGTACATTTGATTTTCACTTCTTTATCTAAAGTTATAAGCCATTTTTTTATTAAATGTGTGGCATAATGAAAGCCGCGCTCGAACAAATTACGATCCTCAAATCTCTGCAGCTCGAGCGCGAGCTCTCTAGGTTCTGCCAACGGCTATCCCGGCTGTACCAAGGTAAAGAGTAGCCATGTGCCATTTTAGACTAATATCTACCTCTATGTCAATTCCTATTCAAATCCTTTATATTCGTATACCTCTAAACTTACGCGTTTATAATTCAGTTATGTAGACTGTACGATTAATACTTACTTAACAAGATAAGTCTTGTTATTCTAAAACTAAGCAAAACTTAATCTTAATACAAAATAATAAGGATGAATTTGTGGCTGATGATCATTTAAATAAAACGGCTGAACGTATCCGTAATCCAATACACAAACGTAGACAGTTTAATTGAAAGAGTGCTTCATAACTTGTAACATGCATGCTCCCCATCAGGTAGATTTGTATTATTTTTTCACAAAGCAAGGGTACTCTGTGATATTTCATCTCGAACTGCCATTGCACATATTGATTTTTTATTATCATCTGTCTGTCAAACGAAGGGACAAAGCTTACAAAGGGTTTTATAAACATCGATTTGAATGCTTCTAGTTTGGTTATGCAGTCACATGAACCTGATGTGGTCAGATTGACAAAATGCCTTTTGCAATTCCAAATACCTTCCATTGTTTCATTGGAATCAGGGACATATTTGTATAATTGTGATATCATATCATCAGCCTATAATTGCCTACTGCTGGACACAGGCTTCTCATACGGTGAAGGAGAGCTTTAATGATCACATTTTTTTATGTTATAGGATGGCCAGACAGGTTGCCTGATGGTAAGCTATCAGCTCCGCCTATGGACATCCGCAACAACGGTGGAGTTACGAGTGCATCGCTGACCTTATTAGGATTAGGGATTTGGAGATTTTGGGAGTTTGAACGGATTGATAGAGAGGGAGGATACTCCCCGTATTGGACCGCCGGTAACCTCACTCACACGACGAAACACAACGCTGTGGATGTTTCACGCCAGTTTTCTGTGAGGCCGTGGAAACACTACGGTCGAGACGACCAATTCGTACCAAAACATGTCTCTCAACATCTACATCACACACATCGAAATGATAATTCTACATTATAAGTTTAGATATCAATATTTTCCTTCACAAATTCATCTGTGGTATCTAAATAATATTAGAAAGTATATAAGTATAACTCGGAAAAAGACACATAGGTGCTTGCCCTTCAGCATGACAAACGCGAACTTAACGATTACAAGTAATTGTTGTATAACAACGAGATTTCTGCAGCTTTATTACGTTGCTGTTGTAATTAATGAAGTGGAATGATATGAGCAAGCTATGCTGTCGGTGTTTATGGCATGTTGTATAAGGACCCTCATGTTTGATTAGCCGGAGCATCCCTGTTTCATTGGTAAATAAGATGAGGGCTGTGCTCTGATATACAGAATAATCGTGCAATTCTTTTAAAGCGGTCTTTAAAAGATTGTAAAAGGGGAAGCAGGAGAAAATAAAGTGATAGTAGGAGAATTATATTAATAATAACTCGTAGAATTTCCTTTTTTTTTGTTTTGCGAAAATATTTATAAATGTAAAAATCAAGTTAAAAAATAAATAAAGAGAATAATAAGCAGAATAAAATCTTAAAATAAAAGGATTTTGGAATTGGAATTCGTCGTAATGTCTCATGAATGGGCTTGAAAAGCTAGCTAGAACCAATGGGAATTCTTCGTGAGGAAAACATGACTTATAATTTCTAATCGTAAGTTTGAAGATGGGTCCATCTTGAATAAGCGCGGTGATTAATGCTCAAACCTTTTACGTGTGAGAAGAGGACTTTGCTTAGCAGTAGGCACGAGGCTTATCATGATGATAATGTCATTGCACTTTTGCAGTGACTGCACGGTTGGCGCGGTGGCTGGCCAACTGGCGCAACGTGTCGCGCGGTTTCGATTCCCACACGAAACAACTCTTTGGTGATCCACAAATTGTTGTTCCAGGTCTGGGTGTGATGTGTATGTGAAATTTTATGTTTGTAAATGCACCCCGGACGCGACAACGCGACACAGGAGAAAATCCAAAGAGGTAGAACGTCTTTTTTACAAAAATAAAATGTGTATTTATTTATATTTATTAGAACCACCAGTAGTCATTACAACACTTAAATGTTTTATAGTCAACAATCATTAAGTTCCAAGCTAGTTGCATAACATATTAAGGTAGCTACAGAGTACAATTAAAAGAGAGCGTTATGGACAGTGATAAATAATACAAATTATATCTAACAAGACTTAACTATACTAAAGATAAGATACATTTTATAACAAAAATCTCTATTTGACCAGTTTAACACAAAGTACAACAAAACAAAAAGTAAATAAAAAGGAAGAGCTGGAGTGGACTAATTTAGATCAGCCAACTTCTTTCGGAATTGCGACAAAGAGTCAAAGTGTACGTCCAAAGATTCACTGCAGTTGTTTAATAAGCGACAAAGACGGGGAATGGGTGATGATTTACCAAACTCTGTGCGCCTAAAAGGGGCTGAGAGAGGTTGAACTGGCTTACGCGGATATCTCGATGGCACACTAAACCTAAAGGAATTAAGGAGCTGTGGACAGTTTATTTGTCCTCGAAATATTTTAAATAGAAAGATTAGATCTAAGATATCCCTGCGCTTTGAGATAGTCTGCATTCCGAAAAACACAAATGTTAACGATTCGTTGTGAATATAATAGTAATTTGTGTTTAATAATCATTTAATTAACCAATGGTGGTTAATTAAATGATAGAGGTAAACAATCTTGGTTTGTTTTTCTATATTAAACATGTCATAAAAAATACATACAAATATTATTTAAATTTAGTTACTTATATGGTAACAGTGCGTAAGGTGAATAAACGACTGGAAAACTTTTTCCAAAAAAAATTTAAACAAGTTTTAGGTAAAAAGACATGCTAAGATTGTTTACGGCCTCACAGAAGACGGACGTGAAACAACCACAGCGTTGTGTTTCGCCGTGTGAGTGAGGTTACCGGAGGCCCAATCCTTCCCCGCCCCCAATCCCTCCTCAATCCCTAAATCTCCAAATCCCTAATCCCTAAAAGGTCGGCAACGCACTCATAACTCCTCCGTTGCGGGTGTCCATGGGCGGCGCTAATTGCTTACCATCAGGTAATCCGTCTGCTCGTTTGCCGATCAATTACATAAAAAAAGGTTTATTTAATTAGTTGCCATGCCATAGGTCTGAATATGATGTGTATGTGAACTAGTACCTTTATAGAAGAACGACAAAGAAAAAACTCGCAATCAGATGCACGGTTTAAAGACACGCAAAGTTCATTGATTGGTTTTGTTTAGTGCTTACTTCAGGGGGGAGAACTGGCGAGTAATCTCTCACACGTGCAGATTTGTGGAACATTCTAGTATTTTAAACAACTTAGAATACATAGATTAGACTATTGTAGATTTAAAGGTGAAATAACAAACAATTCGAGCACGAGTGCTCTAGGAATTAAAAGAGCTAAGCCCGTTTTATATACCCATTATCCACTAATGCCTGTTAAAATTCCAAATTAGTTCGGTTAAGCGAATCTGTGTCCTGTTTCGCAGAAATTAAGGTAGACAAAGCTTTAACATTACAATATCTTAATGTATATATGACAACATTCTCGGAAAATAAATTATTTAATTTTATTTGCATTTGAAACTAGAATAATCTTTTTAGGATCCCGTAGTAACTAGGAACCCTTATAGTTTCACCATGTCTGTCTCTCTGTTTGTCCGTCCGCGGATAATCTCAGTGACCGTTTACACTAGACAGCTGAAATTTGGCACCAATATGTATATCAATTTCACCGACAAAGTGGTCATATAAAAAGTGGGAAAAAATTATTTATGAGGGTACCCATAGGTACTAGGGGAAACCACGGAACCCTACTATCCTATCCTATTTATCTTAGTAACTAGCGCCTCGCCCGGCTTCGGACGTATGATTAAGCCACTATTTAATAGATGTTATTGTACATATAAACCTTCCTCTTCAATCACTCTATGCGCGTCAAAATCCGTTAATTCGTCAACTTTAGAGATTTAAGCAAAAATAAGTATATAGGGACGAAAGCGACTTTATTTTATACTATGTAATTTAGTACCACAAACAAATAATAATTAAGCACAGATTTGAATATTAAGTCTGGCCACGCTTAGTGTAAAATAATCATACATGTACACAATCTGTAATAATTGAGTAAAAATTTACTTACCTCTTCATGAAAGCACGGCAAGCTACCCTTGCTCACCGCCCGCAGACTCGCACTTAGGCTAAGAACTCACGCAGCGATTTTGAACCGTGCCCATTTAATTTTTTATATAAATATTTGAATTCTACAGAAGCTGCGGGCCCGCAACCGCAGCGGACGCGGGCGAAACTCGCTCCGTGAGTTCTTAGCCTTACGCTGGCAGATCGCCTCGCGATCAGCAACGCGAGGAAGATCTCCTAGGGTTGGCTGGGCTAATAATATCTGTAAGTTTGATATGTTTGCAAAACTATACAATTAAATTTAATAATAGCCACTATCTCTGTACTGAGTCAATATTAATTTTGTTAAAACATGACCTTATAATTTTGTAATTATAGGACAATTTTACATTTATTATAAATAAATATACTTTACATTGTTGATTGTGAGTCACGCGGTATACAGAACTTGAAAAAAAAATGTTCAAAAGTTGTTTTTACTGTAGCGGCCAATACCAGTTTTTATAGTAGAAAAAACTTCAATGGTTCTTAAGGCGTTGAACATTCTCTACCAGTCTACCAATCCAGTGGTACCATGAACTTATATAAAATACACATAATTATACTTATATATAGCATACCTCATACTACTTAATAAATGTTTACACTACATCATGATCACGATGATTCCCCCAACGTCTTCAAAAGAAGCTTGCGAACTGTTTTTCTATACCTTTTTTATTTTACTTTCTTTATCATGTTTTAGAAAATGCAGTTTATTAGATTTCCTCCTATTTCTCTTAAATCTATTTGCTTAATGCTTAGCCTTGACATTTGCAATAACTCGGTCAATATTTCTATAAATATTTTAAAGTTCAGCATCAGACTTGAGGGATTCAATCGGTATTGAGTTAGATATTTCTATTGCATTACCTTTTCAATATTTTGTCGGAAATTATTTTATTTTAAGACCCGGGAACCCGCGGTAAATTGGTGAACTATTTAACGGCATTGGGTATCCGAAAAGAGCTTGGATCGCAATTTTGTTCTGATTTCTTTAATTGATTGTAACTACGAGTATGTACATTCAGAGGCACATAATTTGGAATCGCATTATAGATCACGATTTGTATAAAAAAATAGTAAGTAATAGAAAGTGATTGTGGTGTGAGTGACTGGGTGTAATGTGTATGTGAAATTGAATGTTTGTAAACGCACCCACGACACAGGAGAAATTCCTATTGTGGGGCAACGTTTTTTTAGAAAACTATATTTCTATAGATAGATTCAATTGACTAATTAAAGTGTGCGGACGGAGGAATGCTCTACTAGTTACAAGTCACACCGGGACTCATATTCATGAGCAGCGTACGACGCAACAGTATTTAATCGTTTTAATGGCGTAAACGAATGCCTCAGGTAGGTATGCTGTGACAAGATCTCCTTACAATATAATTTACTTTTCTTCCTCAAACTGTATATCTGGTCATAGACAAACATCAGTAGATTTGACGTCAGTGTTTCTTCTTAATTGACTTCGTCGGGAAATGCAAATAACAACACTCATTAAGGTCTAAAATGCAGCATGCAGAAATGGTATTTATTATTTGCCTACCTAAATATCATATTCATTTGAAGTCATGTTAGGCATGTATCCGTTTCCTATATTCACTGTGAAGCCTTTGAACTTTGAACACGGTCAGGTAAACAGACCTGGCCAGACAAACTGTTATTGCTCTTTATTTATTTACTTTGTAAAACCTGGATTGATGTAAAAGTTTGAGAGTATATTCAAAACTTTATATAAAAAATGTGCAGAGGTAAATTTGTATACGGATACCCTTAATAAAAGGTCCTGACATAAAATGTTTTTATAATTATATACAATTTTATATATATGTAGTATATGGATTTTAAGTGTGAAATACTGAGAGACCCATACTTCGACACAAATGGGCTTGCTCTGCCGCGGCCGGCAGAAAACCGACTTAAGAACCAAATACAGACCGGCAACGCTCTTGAAACTCCTCCAGGGCTACGGGTGTCTCTGGATGGTGCTGATGGCTAATCATCAAGCCGTTGGCTCATTTTAAAATTTCATTCAATGAAATTAATTTTTTACTGTCTGTGGAATGGCAAAATAAGCTGCGTCATTATTTTATAACTAACTTGGTTTCACTGCTAACTCTGTTAATTTGTTTATCCTCGCTAATTACTAGTATTTTTGTAACTTTCGTATTAATATTGACTCAATTATCTGGTGGACAGGTCCTGTAATTTATTTAAACTGTCCTTATGTGTGTTCAGTTATTTTATTTGTGCCCGAGAGAATGACCCTACTCAAAGACATTCGATTAAGTACTTAAACTATTCTATGGTAAAGTATTTTTTCAAAAAACACATGCCAATCATTAGGTTCTATAATCAATAGATGGCATTGAATATGTGCATGTTGGAGGCTGAGAGCGGTAGCTTTCTTTTTTCGAAAAAATCGTCAAATAGCCTCTGACACCCTAGGGCGATAGGGAACTTGTCAGACTTTTACTGAATAAAAACTACATTTGTTTTTTATGTAATAGGTCGGCAAACTAACAGTCGGATTACCTGATGGTAAGCCGCCGCCCATGGACACCCGCAACAGATGCGATGCGAACGAGTGCGTTGTCGATCTTTTGGAGGGATTTGGAGATTTAGGGATTAGGGGAGGAGAAGGATTGGGCCTTCGGTAACCTCACTCACACGGCGAAACACAACGCCGTGGTGGTTTCACGCCGGTTTTCTAGTC